ACACGATTTGGAACTCTCTCTAGATGATTAAAACCCGGAGTTCACCAAGCCTTTAGAGAAGCCGCACGTGGTGCTACCAAGACTTCTGATTTTTGAGGACACCACCTCGCAGGAGAAGCCTTTCCTGCGCTCCAGTACGAGGCTTGGGGTCACTTCCCGTCCACACAACCCTCAAATGCCAAAGGCTCCTTTAAGCCCCTGGCACGTGTAACTCGCGCCAGGTACTAGGCTCAGACCCAGGGAGATCTCCTTCTCGCGAATCCTAGCAATGGGGGTGGACTGAGGAGAGCCCAAATCCCAGGGCTTGACGACATCCTCTAGATAGCGTAAAAAAGGAAACAGAAAAAAAAGGATGGAGCCAGGTTTTTTCACCCAACTTTTTACTCTTTCCCACGTGGGTTGGTCTGTTTCTCTTAGGCTCACCGGAGGCCTTCGGCCACGCAAAGAGACCGCTGCAAAGTACCTCCGAGCACAGCAGCTGGGACCCTGAAACTTCCTGAGTTCTAACCTCCCGCCGGGCTGTTAGGACCCTGTAGCTGCCCAAGTTCTAACTCAGGGACGGGCGGTTAAGACCCAGCGCCAGCGGAAGAGATGGAGCGAGTTCTAGCCTCCACCAAGCTAGCGAGTGAACAGAATCCTGAGCCTCCCGCTTCCCAGTCCTTCGGCCCGGCGCATGCACTCACCATGGCTGCGGTTCCGCAGACTCACCACTCCTCAAGGAGCGCAGCCGAGGTCAGGGAGAGTGCGCTCGGCTCCGCCGGAGAGCCACACAGACGGAGCGGAAATGACCCCCCCGCGCGGCAGGAAGCGGAAGTGACGTCACGCGAATAGGCGCGCCTCGCCACCTAGGGGCCACTGAAGAAGGAGCGGCCTCGGTCCGGGCGTGGGAACGTTATTTTGCTGTTCTTACCAGTTTTCCACTATAAATTGTTGGCAGAAACAATGAGTTAAGCATTTAAAAAGTAACCCACCAAAACAAAGGGTTTCAATGATGTAACCCTTTCATTGCCAGTTCAATTTTGAGCATATTCTTGTGCTTTCAAAATCGTCTTTCTGACCTCACACTGGTGAGGTAAGATAATTATAGGTAATTCTAAATGTTTTCCTGCATCTTCGGATATCCTTTGTCAAAGTTTCTGGTGGAGAATGGAGTTAGAATCCATTGAGTAGGCAATTCAGAAGGAAGAGCAGGTTTGGGGATGTGGAAGTTGAGCTTCTGTCAGGTTGAGGTTGGAGATTTCTTAGGACGCCCACTTTCTTCTGGCCAGCATTCTGCTCTTTTCTCAGTGCTGCTCCAAATCTCCACAGTTTATGGCTAAACTCATGCCTTATCACCTCCAAGAGGTTCTTCTTGATCCTCATGGCCCTTCTTTATGTCTCTCCAACACGATACCATGTACATCTTGGGTCCATTTGGATCTAGCCAAAACTAGACCATTTGAGGACTAGTTCCAGTTGATTCCTTTGGAAACCAGAAGTTGAGACCTGGGAGGACTCTTAGGAATCATATAACACAACTCCTTAATTTTACAGATAAGAAAACTGAGGTCCAGAGAAGGGAAGCTGCTTGCCCATGGTCACAGAATGAGAGAGTGGCAGACCCAGAACTGGACCCTGCAATTTTTGGTTACCTACCTGAGTTATTTCCACCACATCTAGTTGCTGTGCCTGAGCTGTGTTGGGGCATCCGGCAATAGGAAAGGTTTATACTGGCTCCAAGATTGAACATTTGTTACATCAGAGATCCCCCCCAAACTTTACCTCATGTGAATCTAATATGACTTGTCAGAGAAAGAAAAATTGTCTCTAAACTAAGAAATGTGCACTGATGGCTCCACTCCAAGTCCAGTAGAGTCTGTCCCGTGGACTGTTTTTCACCTCTGTTGGATTCTGTTTCATGTCCCCATATTAATTGATCCTATCAGTCACCACTGTTGGGAAATGAAACCTTATTATTCCAGTTTACAGTCATAGATGTGTCCTTATGGTTTGCTTCTTAGATGTCCTTTATACCAATTTATGATTATTATTTGGCCTACCTGACATCTTGGATCATCATATCTCAGACCTCCTTGGTAACGAATGATGGGGACATGATGTTTTTACGACCATGAGTACAGTACACTTTACCCATTTGTCTAATTAATTCTGTTTCCTAACTATATAATAACTTAATCTCCATGTTCTTTCAGAATCAGTGCATCTTTTTGTATCTTGCTATTTCCCTTACTAGTAAGTTAATAAATGTTGAAATGTGCTCAGGATTAATTTGTTTTAAAATCTTACCACATTCTTGTATTTAAAACCGTAAATCCAGGCCAGGCACAGTGGCTCATGCCTGTATTCCTAGAACTATGGGAGGCAGGAGGATTGCTTGAGGCTAGGAGTTTGAGACCAGCTTGAGCAAGAGTGAGACCTTGTCTCTACAAAAAGTAGAAAAATTAGCTGGGCATGGTGGCGCATGCCAGTACTCCCAGCTACTCAGAAGGTTGAGGCAGAAGGGTCATTTGAGCCCAGGAGCTCGAGGTTGCAGTGAGCTATGATGACACCACTGCACTCTAGCCTGGATGACAGAGTGAGACCCTGTCTCAAAAAAACAAAGAACAAAAAAACCCTAAATCCTTGCCATGGCTTACTAGGTCCCTCTCCACCAGTATTTTCCCCCCTCCCACCTCCGTGTTCCATCCCCACCCACATTCTTTTGCTATCCTGAGTACACCCCAGTCTCTCCAACCCCATCCATCACTCTCTGTTTGGAGTAATTTGCTCCACTGGCCTGCTTAACTAACATCTGTTCAACACCCCTTTGATGAAGCCTCCCTGATCACCCAGACTGGATAATTGCCCCTGCTGGATGGAGCCACAGACCTCTACACATGTTCTTTGTAGCACTTGTCAACCTTGTTATTTAGTGTCTGCCTTCTGAACCACATTGGAAGCTCCATGGGAGCAGAATCTGCAGCTGCCTTGGACACTTTGGATACCTTTCTTCTTGTTACACTTAAGGATTTTTAGTGGCAAGCTACTAAAAAGGAATTTAGGGGAAGACTCTGTGGTAGAGCTTAGAATTCAAGGAGAGCTGGTTGTGAGAACAGGACCATCCCTACAGTCCCACTCTATTGTCAGTGTCCTCCAGCCAAAGACCAATAGGAACACACCTGTAGTGTTGTTACTTGTTGCAACAAGGGAGAACACACACCATGGGGAACTCTGGGCTTCTCAATAAGATGGTATTAGAAGGGATTTATTATAGGATTTGGGCTTGTGTTATGTGCTTTTGGGAAGGGTTCAAGGAAGTGGGGTTTGCTCTGGATTAGATGCTGTCAGGAAGCATGGATATTTCTATGATTGGACATCTTAATAAATCTTACCTACAAGGTGGGAGGAATTAAGCAAGGCTAAAGCTATCATTGGTAAAGAAGTAATAATCACTCATATTAGCCTGGATAAGGGAATGTTTGGTCATTTCTGTGGTTTGGACAATGTTCAAGCTGTTTTCTGTGTTCAGACAGGATTAAGGAGTGGTATTGTTTTTGCCTTGATTATCACAGTTAGAGTGGCCTTGTCTGATGTTGATGTTCTGCGAAATTAATGTTTAACAGGAGAACACGACAGCCATGCTGTGAGTGTCAGGGCAGATCCTAGCAACAGCAAGGCATCACTGACAGAGCCAGGCCAGTTCCTAGGTGCCATGGGCTGCTTTTATTTTTCTCACCATCCTCCTATTTCTACCTTGAATCTCTCTTCCTGAGACTTAGAGCCCTAGCAGAGAGAGCCAAGTTGGCCAAACTTAGACCCCACCTCCACTCCTTGGCTGTCCTAGGTCTGTGAGAGAGTATCAGGTACAAGCTGGGGTGACATTTGATCAGGATACATTGTGTGGAATATTGGGTTCTTAAAATAGAGAGATACTTCCTAACTGGTTGGTAAAATAGGTGATACCCCTCCCCTGGGACCCCAGGGACCACTTAGAATCTAGCCACTAAAGGTTTAAAGCCTGGCTCATTCTAATTGGCTGATGTCCCTGCGTGCTCAGCTATTTAATATTTTGAACACAACCTTTGAGTGGAGTCTTCACGGTAGCAATTATTCTCCCACAAACACTGATCTTGAGATGGGAAAAGTAATTCTCCAACAGGAAATCAGTATACTGTGAGTGAAGAGGAAGGGATGATAAGTGGTCAAATAAAAATACATATGTTCAATAGAGTGTTCATTAATATTTGATAGGGGACAGAAAGAAGGACAAATGGATGCCAACATCTAGTAGGAAGAAAGAAATCAAGCAGACTTCAGGTTACATCACCCCATCATACATGTGGGGAACTTAATGTTTTCACTCCAGAGGACAGAGATGTTTAAGACAAATTCTTTTTCCTCTTAATTCCTTTTGAGCAGTTCCCCGGCACTGTCCTTATCTGCACCAAGGGTGTGCTAGCCAGCCCTAGAGCCAGTGTCAGTGGCTGGAGCTGAGGGTGGGGCATCAGACTCATTTGTGAGGTGGCATCAGTGACAGGGGTGCTATGAGGCAGGGGCTACCCCGCCCCAAACTGGCTGCATGAGCTGTTCCAGGCCTTCCCTCCAGCTCCCTAACACCATCTGCCTGACCTCAACTTTGCCATGTTGCTGCCACTGCTGGGTGCCTGTGCCGTGCTGGGGCCGTTCCAGGGCCCAGAGTGGGAGCCAGTGCGGGGCCTGCTCCCCCAGGATCGCAGCTGCAGGGACCCTCGGTGCCGAGGCAACCTGCTTGTCCTCTGTCTCTTTCTGATCTGGCAGGTGCGGCACTATTGGCACCAGGTCACCAGGACCCGCCCCAGCAGGAGGAATGTCATCAAGGTGAGGGAGCCCCACACACATTCACTCTCCTTCCCTCAGCACCATGACTGTCTCAGTAACTTGTTATGAGGACCTCGTTCTATGCCCTGTATACCGAAGATGAATCAGAGGGGAACTCAGGCTGGCAAGGGAGAGCATCGTTCAGGCCCCAAACCCAGGAGTTGCCCTGGACTCCTCTCTTTCCTTCACTCCACATGTCCAGTTCATCTGCAGGTCCTATGGGCTTTACTTGCAAATCATATCTCAAATCTGATCACTTCTCCCAAACTCACCAAACCCTGCTGGGTAGAGCTGCCACGTGTCTCACTTGCACCATGGTAACAGCCTCTGCCCAGTTCCTGCCGCTTCCCTTGTCCAACCACAGTCAGTCCTCCACACAGTCACCAGAATGACCTTCTTCTTTCTCTCTTTAAAACACAATTTTAAGGCTGGGTGTGGCTTACACCTATAATCCTAGTACTTTGGGAGGCTGAGGCGGGAGCATTGCTTGAGGCCAAGAGTTCAAGATCAGCCTGAGCAACATAGTGTGACCCTGTCTCTACAAAAAATAGAAAAGTTAGCTGGGCATGGTGGCACATGTCACTATGCCCGGCTAATTTTTTATATATATATTTTTAGTTGTCCAGCTAATTTCTTTCTATTTTTTTAGTAGAGACGGCGTCTCGCTCTTGCTCAGGCTGGTCTCGAACTCCTGAGCTCAAATGATCCACCCGCCTCGGCCTCCCAGAGTGCTAGGATTACAGGCATGAGCCACCACGCCCGGCCAAAAAATTTTTTTAATTCAAGGATAATATGTACACACAAATTACAAGTGTATAGATCAATAAATCTTCAAATTGAACACATTCACTTATAGCACCCAGATTAAGAAACAAACCATTACCAGCAGCCCAGAAGTTTGCAGTCACAAGTCTACTGATTTCTAATAGCATAGACCAGTTTTGTCTGTGTGGAACTATATGTCAAACATTCTCTTATGCTTGGTTCAAGTCCAACATTATGCTGTGAGCCAGAACAAACTTTTAAAAACAGATCATAGTACTTTGCTGCTCAAAACTTTCAATGGCTCCTGTGGTTACACTCCCCGTCAAACTCAGAATAAAATCCAAACTCCTAACTGCAACTCCAAGGTCCAGTAAAATCTATCCTGTGTTTGTCCCAGACGTCATCTCCTGGAGCTCTCCTTGTTACCGATTCCATTATGGCCGCTTGGGCTTCATTGCTGTTCCTGTACACATGATCTTGTTCCATCCTCAAGCCTTTGCATTTAATGTCTCCTCTGCTTACAGTGCCCTTTCCTCAGATGTCACTTGGTTTTCCCCTTACTTCATTCTGGTCTTCAGTCACACATCACCTTTTCCAAGAGGCCTTCCCTGACCATTCTGTCTGAAGGAGCTAACCCCACTATCCCGCTCTGCTTTTATTTCTATAAGAATACTTGTTGATGCCAAACATTATGTTATATACTTGATTATTGTTTTTTTCTATATCTAGAATAGAAAAGACCCCTAGCAGGGTCTTTTATTAGTATCTTGTTCATGTTGGTACCCCCAGCATGTAGACAGTGCCTGGCCCAGAGTAAAACTCTTAGTCGTTCTTGAATGAATGAATACTATTTGCTGTAAGGGTGACTTAAGTGACTCCCCCTTTCCTTAGCCCAACCATCCTCATCTGGGTAGTGGGGATTGGAATCCTGATCTGTGTGGATTATACGAGCTAATATGTGTATAAGGATTTTGCTTCTTGGTTCTTACCTACAGGTGCCACCACAGAAGTGGGCAGTGCCCTCCATGAGACGTGAAACTATCTTCAGGCCAACTCCTGAATTCTTCTTCAGTCCTGGCAAGTTCAGGGGCCTGGATGCTCATGTCCAACAGTGGACACAAAAGGAGAGATGGGGATACCAGAGGAGGCTCCAGGAGTCATGGGCCCAGTACCTGCTCTCTCCACAGCACCTGTGTCAGGGCCTACCTCGGAGTGCCCACACCCACTCTGAGCCCATCTTTTGTTCCACCTCCTTTTCAAGCACCTGTCTGCTCCCTCAGGGCAGTTCCTGGAAAGCACGTCAGGTACCCTGGTGTCTCCGTGATGGCAAGACTCACCCTGCCTTGGACATGTGCCAAAACATGGAGCAGCTGCTGGTTCACTCTCAGGGAAAGTTGGTGCCACTGGAACCTGTCATCAGCATGAGGTCCTGCCCCACCTCCATGACCTTAGCCACCTCTCTTCCAAACCTCCCTTTAGCTCAGAGGCTACAGTTCTGCCCCAGAGAGTTCCTGCGCAATCCTTCCAACCAGCTACTGGGAATGCGCACCTGGAAGTCCTGGGACTGCCCACAAGAGGCCTGGGCACCAGGGGATGACAACCAGACTGTAGGCAGTGGGGACAGTAGAGAGATCCAGGCTCCCAAGTGGGTGAGCCAAAGAGAGAGCAGAGGGGAGGATGCTTGGGAAATCCAGGCATCTGGGGGGCAACTTCCCGTAGCCTTTGGAATGGAGGATGATGCAGAGACTAAGGTCCTGGGGTACGAAAACCGGAGACTAGTAATAAGTGAAACTGATGGCGAGATCCTGACACCAGGGTGGGAGAAGCAGGACCAGACGGGAGTTGAGAATAGAGCCAAAATTCAGGAACTTGGGAAGAGAAACCCAAGGGAAGCTGGAAGTAAGAATCCTCCGGAAACCCAGGCACATATGGGAGAGAACCAAGAACACTTAAGATGTAAAACTGATGCAGAGACCCAAACACCAGAGTGGGGGAACCAGGGTAAGAATGGATGTGAGGGTGCTGTGGAGAGGAAAAACAAGAAACAGGCCGGAGGGGAGGATGAAGGAGAGATCCAGGCCCAAGGATTGGGGAAGCAGCACCAGACTGGAGGTGATAATGGTGGGGAGATCCAGATGCCAGAGTGGGGGAGACAAGACCAGACTGGAGGTGATACCGGTGCAGCAATTCAGACAGAAGAGGGAAGAAACAAGGACCAGGTTGGAGGTGAGGATGTTGTGCAAACACCATCATTCAGGAAGGAAAACCTGGGAGAAGTGAAAAAAGAGGATGGTGTAGAGACCCAGGCCCTGGAGTGGGGGAAACAGGAATACATTGGAAGTGAGGAGGTTACAGAGATCCAGACCCCAGGGTGGGAGAAGCAGGATCAGGGTGGAAGTGAGAAGGCCTGGAAGACCCAAACATCTAGGGGAGAGAACCAGAAACTATTAAAACATGAAATTCAATTGGGGTGGGAAAACCAAGGCCTAGGAAGAGACAAGAATGCTGAGGAAACCCAGATAATGATCAGGAAGAAACTCAAGGAGATAAGAGAGGAGGATTGGGTGGTGATCCAGGCACCATGCTGGGGACTCCAGACACTGGTGGCAAGTGAAATTGACAGACAATTCAAAATACCATGTTGGGGGAATCAGAACCAGATTGAAGGAGAGCATAGAGCAGAAATTCAGGCACCAGAGAAGACAGACCAGAGAAAGGATGGAGATGAGGATGGTACAAATACTCTGGCACCAGAGGCCAAGAACCAGGAACAATTAAGAGGCGAAACCAATACAGAGATCCATCCAGCAGGGAGGATGAATCAGGAGCAGTTTGGAGATGACAGTGGTATAGACATTCAGGCACTAGGGCCGAGAAACCTAATAGGGGTTAAAGGTGTGGATGATAAAGAGACCCAGGAACTTGGGGAAGAAAATCAGGGTCAGTTAGGAAATGAATTTAATGGAAAGGTTCACATACCAAAATGGAAGAATCAGGAATATTTTAAAGGTGAGGATGGAGCAAATACCCAGACATCTGAAGCAGAGAACTGGGGCAAATTAACAAGTAAAATTGATGGAGAAACCCATTCAGCAGGATGGAAGAAAGAGGAGCAGACTGGAGGTGAGAATGGTGCAGAAATTCAAATACAAGGGAAGATAAACCTGAGTGAAGTTAGAGGTAAGGATGGTGCAGAGATCTGGGCACCTGGGAAAGAAAACCTTGATAGAAAGAGCGTTTTATCAGAGTGGAAGTACCAGGAGCAGATGGGAGGTGAGACTGGAACAGAAACTCAGGCCCCAGGGAAGAGGAACCAGAGAGAACCTGGAGGTGAGCGTGATGTAAAAACCCAGAGCCCAGAGGGCGAGAGCCAGGGACAGTTGGGTAGTGAAACTGGAGGGAACCATTCACCAGGGAAGAGGAACTGGGAGCAGACTGGAGGGAAGAACGTTGCAGAAAATCCGGCATCAGAGAAAAGAAACCAGAGAGAGGTTGGAAGTGGGGATGGTAGAAAGATCCAGAGACTTAGGGAAAAGAACCAGAGACTGTTAAAAAGTAAAGTTAATGAAAATACCTGTTCATTAGAGTGGAAGAACCAGGAACAGATTGGAGGTGGGAATGATGAAGAAAGTCAAATACAAGGGAAGAGAAACCTGAGAGGGACCACAGGTGATGAGGGTACAGAGACCCTGGCTCCTGGGAGAGAGGACCAGGGACAGTTAAATGAAATTGATGGAGAGATCCAGACACAAGGGCAAGGAAACCAGAAAGAGGGTGGAGATGAGGATGCTGCAGAACTCCAGGATGTAGGGTGCCAGAGAAAATGCAGAGCTGAGGATGAGCCTCGATCACCAAGGGGAGGAAGCAAGGATCAGGCGAGAGGAAAGGATATTGCCAGGGCCAGTCTCCGGGTCGACTGTTCTGGGAGTGAGGGGCCCACAGGCAGGAAGCACAGCCCAGCACGTCCTCCAGCCTTCACTGGTTCTGCAAATGGGGCCACGGAACTGGAACAGACAGTGGCTGTGAACAGTTTAGCTCCTGCTCCCTGTCCTGAGATGAAGACTCTGGCCAGTCAGGGCACAGCCCCTGCCAGGCAGCACAGAGTGGGGGTCAGTCCAGCCTCCCAGCAGGGGATTCAGGCCCAACCTGAATCCCAGAGAAGACAGAGGGACAAAAGGGTGGATGCAGAGAAGGCTTCCAGCCCCACTGGGCAGCCCTGGAGCCATGTGCCCTCTGCCTGCCCCCCTCTTCTGTGTGGCCAAGCCCCTGAAGCTGCCACAGCTCTGGTGGGTGCTTTCACTGCTTTCACTGTCCCATCCAAGTGGCCAGTCCTCAAGAAGAGCAAGCACCTGCTCCTAGAGTCCCTCATGAAAAGGAGGATTGCACACCTGAAGTGGGGCCTTCCCCGGCGGATCCTGGAGTCCTATTTTTTGTTTAACTTCTTAGGATCGTGTTCATTGCCCCTTGCTGGGGTGAGGTTCCCTGAATTATACACAGGCCAGGAGCCCCAAGGGCAGGAGGAAAGGCATTGTGGGGCCCAGGGCTCCATGCCAAGCCCTAAGTCCCCAGAGAAATTCCAGAGGATTCAGCCCCCGGGCAGAAAAAGCTCAACACTTCCTACGCAGGCCAGAGCTCTGGAGAAATATAGACCAGACAGGTCAGAGCCCATGGATATTTCCACCCAGCCCGAAAAGCCCAGGAGAGTCATGCCACCAGGGGGCGCCAGAGACCCACAGGAGATCCAGGAAGCTGCTCCTAGGGCCAAGCTCCCTGCTCGCGGAAATCCCAGGCCCGCAGCAGAGTCCGGGAGCTGGTGTGGCGGAGAAAGCTTCCAAGAGCCTTCCAGTGAGAACAGAAGGGTCAGGAAAATGGTCAGGCTGGGCGTCTCCCAGATGGCAGAGAGGCCTCCCAGCAGAGTGAGGACCTCATCCTCCAGGGCAGGCCATGACTCCTGGAGGAAGGAATGTACGTCTTCGGAGGCCTCTAAGCCTCCCAGACCCAAATGTCAGCAGCCCACGTGCTGGAGAAGAGGAAGCCTGAAACCTGCCAAAGGCAGAGGGGCTGGGCAGCAGCCTTCCTCCGATTCCACAGAAACTGTCAGCGTCCAAGAGAGTCTCCACTCTGCTGCAGCAAGGCTGGGCGTGACCCTTCTGAACAAGATGTCCTGGTCCCCACAGCTGGCCAAGACCCATCACTCAGACCCCTACCTGAGCCTGAGGGAACCTGATCCTGCCCTGCTTCCCAAATTGGGTGACCCACAAACAGAGGAGGACAGCATTGGAGACCATACATCTTTGGAGAGGGACCTTCAGCCACCAGGTCACTGCTGTGCAGGAGCCACTCTTCCCAAGACAGAGAGCCCCCAGGGTCAGATGGCTCCTGGGAATTCACACGGGGTCCCACAGAGTCTACCAGCCTCCAAAAAGTTTGGTTTTATGAAACATTTGAGGTTTTCTCTCTTCCATCGTGGCTTTAAAAGGTAGGCCTCAGGCCCAGAGTCCTCAGGACACATCAGACAAGGCTTGAGAGTGTCCTGCTCCCCTGAAAGCCTCTAATAAAATTGCTTATTTGGGCCCTGGGTGGTTCTGATTTCTCTGGCACATCTTTTCTGGTCCCCACAGTTGGCCAAGCCCCAGCAGTAAGCCCCTAATCTGAGCCTTTTGGGATTTGGGATATTTTGTGTGTAGGGTATAAACCACTGCCATCCTGTGGTTTTGAAGGTTTAGGGAATGTGGGTCAGCCCAAGGTCACCTCCTAAACACCTCTTCTCTCAGCTCCTCACAGTAAGGTCCACTGAGGTTTCTATCATGGTTCTGTCCTGCCCTAGTCCCAAACTCATCCTGATTGCAGCAGGATATTCAAACAGCCTCAGCTGCTTTTGGGGAGGGGTAGTGAGCTGCATAGGCCACTATTATTCAGGTTCTTTTGGGTACAAGGAAGGGAAATGATCACTGTGCAGCTGTCCTGCTGGGGTTCTGCTCCCCAAGAGCGGACTTCATGGAAAAAACATCCCCACTTCTTCAATTCTCACATACTGCCAACCATAATTATTTGTTGCTTTGCCTAGTCCACTGTGGGATATTGTAGAGCTAATCATTTGCTTTAGTCAGGTCTGAAACTTCTGAGCCAATGAGTATTGTCTTGTGATAATTCTATAGACCACTTAAGCAGGTAGAAACAGGCTCATAGGGCCTAAATCAGTGAGTACTGGGGCTGGAAATTTAATTCAGGTTTTCTCCTTCCTCCTTTCTCCTCCTCTCCCTTTTTCTCCTTCTCTCTTCCATTCTTTCACTTGTCTTTCCTATTTAAAAAATAATAATATTGCCTAGTCCCAGCACTTTGGGAGGCTGAGGTGGGAGAATCACCTGAGCCCAGGAGTTTGAGACCAGTCTGGGCACCATAGCAAGACCCTGTCTTTACAAAAAAGAAGGAAAATTAACTGGGTGTGGTGGTGCGTGCCTGTAGTCCTAGTAATTCGGGAGCTGAGGTAGGAGGATTGCTTGAGCCCAGGAATTCAAGGCTGCAGTGAGCTATGGTCACACCACTGCACGGCAGCCTGGGCAACACAGCGAAACCCTGTCTTTAAAAAAACCCAGTAAATAAATTATTATTTTTGTATTGTGATAAAATACACATAACATAAAATTTACCATTTTAACTGTTTTTAAGAGTATAGTTCAGTGGTGTGAAATACATTCATAATGTTGTACAACCATCACTAGCATCCATCTCTATAACTCTTCATCTTGTAAAACAAACTCTGCCCATTAAACAATAACTTCCCATTCCTTCCTCCCCCAGTCCCAGTAGAATGGCAATCACCATTCTATTCTCTGTCTTTATGATTTTGATTACTCTATGTGTCTCATATTAATGTAAGTGGAATCATATAGTATCTGTCTTTTTGTGACTGGCTTATTTCATAATATCCTCAAGGTTCAACCATGTTGTAGCGTAAGTCAGAATTTCCTTCCTTTTTAAGGCTGAATAATATTCCATTGTGTATATATCTATACCATATTTTGCTTATCTATTCATTCTGTTAATATCAACAGACATGTGAGTTGCTTCTATCTTTCAGCTATTGCGAATAATGCTGTTATGAATGTGAATGTAAAAATATCTCTTTGTGACTGTGCTTTCAATTCTTATGGGTATATACCTGGAAGCGGAATTGCTGGATTATATGGTAGTTCTATTTAAATTTTTTGGGCAACTGTTGATACTGTTTTATATTCCCACCATTTTTATATTCCCACCAACAGTACACAGTTCCAGTGTCTCTACATTGTCACCACACTTGTTATATTCTGTTTTTCTGATAGTAGCTATCCTAATGGGTGGGAGGTGGTGGGAAATGGTATCTCATTGTAATTCTGATTTGCATTTCTCTAATGATTAGTGATGTTGAGCACTTTTCATGTGCTTATTGGCTATTTGTGTATCTTCTTTGGAGAAATGTCTATTCAAGTCCTTTGCTCATTTTTGAAGAAGGTTGTTTACAGTTTTTTTGAGTTTCAGGAGTTCTCTATATATTCTAGATATCAATGCCTTCTCAGATATGTGATTTGCAAATATTTTCTCCCATTCCATGGGTTGCCTTTCTACTCTGTTTATATTGCCTTCCCCCCCCCCCCAAAATGGGGTCTTGCCATGTTGCCCAGACTGGACTTGAATTCCTGGGCTCAAGTGATCCTCCCATCTCAGTCTCCTGAGTAGCTGGGACTACAGACACATGCCACCGTGCCCAGCTGATACTGCCTTTTGATGTACAAAATATTTAAATTTTCATGAAGTTAAATTTGTCTATTTTTTCTTTTGTTGCCTTATCTTTCCTATTTTTAAATTATACATGTCGGCCAGTCATGGTGGCTCATGCCAGTAATCCCAGCACTTTGGGAGGCCAAGATGGGAGGATCTCTTGAGGCCAGAAGTTTGACGCTACAGTGAGCTATAATCGTGCCCTTGCACTCCAGCCTGGGCAACAGAGTCTCTAAAAAAATAAAAATAATAAGTAAAAGTCATACATGAACATTTAAGAGAGTTGAGAAGGCTGGGTGCAGTGGCTCATACCTGTAATCCTAGCACTTTGGGAGGCTGAGGCCAGGAGAATTGCTTGAGGCCAGGAGTTCAAGACCAGCCTGAGCAAGAGCGAGACCCTATCTCTACAAAAAAATAGAAATATTAGCCAGGCATGGTGGCACGCACCTGTATCTTCAGTTACTCAGGATGCTGAGGTAGGAGGATCAGTTGAGCCCAGGAGTTTGAAGTTGCAGTGAGCTATGATGAGGCCACTGTATTCCAGCCTGGGCAACAGAATGCGAGTCTGTCTAAAAAAAAAAAAAAAGACTTCGGAAAAGAAAAATTAACCTTAATCCTATCACCCAGTTAATGTTTTAATGTATTTTTTCTTGTTTTATTTTACCATGGCACTTATATTGTGATAGGCAGCCTCTAAGATGGTTCCCAATGATCCCTACCTCCTGGTTTTTATGCCCTTGTGTAATCTCCTCTCCTTGAGTGTGGACTGGATCTAATGACTCACTTCTAACAAATGGGACACAGCAGAAGTGATGGGGTATCATGTCTAAGATTAGGTTACAAAGACTGTAGCTTCCATCTTGGGCACCTGTCTTGCACTCTCACTTGCTCCCTGAGGGAAACCACCCTCCACATTGCACACTGCCTTATGGAAAGTCACACGTGGCAAGGAACTGAAGAGGCCACTGGACAACAGCCATCAAGAAACTGAGGCTGTCTGTCAGTCCAACAGCCTGTGAGGAACTGAATCCTGCCACCAGTCATGTGAGTGAGCTTAGAAGCAGATCCTTCAGCTTCAGCCCTGTTGAGTCTTGAGATGACTGAAGCCTCAGCTGACACAGCTTGTCTACAACCTCCTGAGAGACCTTGAGCAAGAGTCACCTAGCTAAGCTGTACCTAGATTCCTGACCCATGGAACTATGATATAATAAATGTTTATTGTTTTAAGGTGCTAAATTTTGGGGTGTATTAGTTGCCTATGGCTACTGTAACTAATTGATACAAACTTGGTGGCTTAAAACAACAGAAATTTATTCTCCCACAGTTCTGGAGACTAGAAGTCCAAGATCAAGATTCTAACCAATTTGGTGTCTGGTAAGCGTTTTCTTCTTGGCTTGCAAATGGCCACCATCTCCCATGTTCTCACATGGTCTTTCCTTGATGTGTGTGCAGAGAGAGAGAGGAAGAGAGATATCTCTTCCTTTTCTTATGAGGCCACCAATCTTTTTGGATTAGGGCCCAATCCTTATGAACTCATTTAACTTTAATTACTTCCTAAAGGCCCCATCTCCAAATATAATCACATTGGGGGTTCGACATGTATTCTGGGGAGACAAATTCAGTCTATAGCAGATTGGACGTATCTTTTTGAGGGTCA